CCCCAGTGATTCGGCTGGTTGTATGGTTTGTCCATTGTTAGCGTAGCGATGTTGCTGATGGAGAGAAAAGTTAGACTTTGACAGTAAATGTCTGAAATTAATTGAGTAAAGCAAGTCTAGTCTCTATTGCAGGAGTACGTTCTGGCTTGTCAGAGGTAATTTGACAATTTAGCCTACACTTTATATTCTGGCCAGATGGATTGGTCAATGAAAAAGATAAATGTGTTATACTATAGTAGATGTTAAGTCATTAATAGTGATCAGTGTATTTTTTATACATATAAGTGCAATTTGTTGTATGCAACAACTAACCCACATTGTTGTACGAAAACACAAATTAGGTACATTTTATAAAAATAATAATTGCTTTGAAATGTTTACATATGTTTTAATGATCTGAATTAAAAAGAATTTAATAATTATTGAAAATTACAAGACGTTTTAGGGCAAACGCTAAACTAAATTATTTTATGCCAGCAACTATACCAAAGGTTTGCAACCGTCTGGAAGTTTTTTTAAAGAAAATTACAGAACTGATACGATTATAAATGGTATCAACGTGACAATAGTCGTGACATTTGTGACCTTTTTAGAGTTTGAACTAATCGGCTATGATCGCGTCCATTCACAGTCCACAAAGTTTAGTGAAATCGTGTAATACTTTTCATAATTACATTAAGTAACGGAACCTCTAACCTTGATCATTGTATAAAGAAAGTCGCTAATGAATCAATTGATTATAATCGGTTTACAAAAAGCGAACGAAAATTTCACTTTCATTAAAATATCGGCTTGATTGAGCCTTAAAATAGCCAGAGTAGGAAGTAGACGCCTCTAATCGTAATTTACGCTGTCATAAAATTTTATCGCATTAAAAGTTTACTATTTGTAATGATATACTACAAAGATAATATTTAGTTTTATTACAAATTATAAAGTTTAATTACTCCGATTGCCATTTATACGTATCTTTAACTATTGTATTAGCTAGGTCAAATAAGATTCGAATGTAGAGCGTTTTATAAATATGTTCCTCATGATTTATAAAACGCTCTACATTCGATTATTCATTTTTTAAATAATTATAAATGTACTTATTTAGGCCTTTTCACCAACCCACCGATTTCATAATTGACTGCAACACACACAATGTGTGTCCACGCCGCGCGTGCATTAGAGACTCGGTTGAGCAAGAGAAAGTCCACCGCCCATTCACAAGACGCATACAAATATTTAAACGCCTACAATACCGAAAACGGGTTTACTTACACATTTCTAAGTTCGGTTTTGTCGCGATATGGACATTTTTATGATTGTCTGAATTATTTGTTAACATACAGATTTGACAGTTATTAAGTTAAGGGCGTGATTAAGCGGAGATTACACCAAAGTTCATACAGAATACTTCATTTATACTCGTATATTTTATAACAGTTATTTATCAATTTATACACAAAAGATATCGGTATATTAATAAAAAAGCTTATGGATCGTTTAAGGGCAAGAATTATACATAATAATATATTGGATGTCAGCTTTATCACTATCAATTTTTTCCTCCTTTTATAAAAGAAAACGTAAATTATGACGAGGAAAACTGGATGTTTTCAACGATTACTTATTTTCTTATGAATTTCATAATTCATGGTCACCATAGATAAACTACAACTACTAAGTAACTTATCAAGTAAAAACATTCAGCCATTATTATTAATACAATTAGTTAAATAACGTACAGTTATTCGAATTGGTGTGCAAAGTATCGCGTTATCACATTTTCGTATGAAGCATTTATTGCATTCTAATTTGAAGAATGAGGATGCCAGTGAAATTACGGGCACGCAAGCCTTTCGTCACCTGACTCATCGAGTTTTACGTAAGTTTTAAAGTAAAGCGGCTTTTTGATGTACCGACTAGTACGGTTAATTTAGTTTGATGCCGGAGTGTAGGTACTCCTCATGGTCTAGGAAGTTGAGCCTAGTGACAGTTGAAACACTTTTCAGCTAGTTTAATAAAAAATATTTATAAACTTAACCAAATTATGTCAAGTGGAGGAATTAATACGTTTAACGTTAATGTACAGTTAAAAGCACATCTGACTCTACATTTATTTTATTACAATGACATAAGATAGAATTTTCTGAAACTATCCCAATTGTTTTCAACAGTTACTTATAGGTACTTATAATTTTAGCTTAAATAGGGTGTCTCCTTTTAGCAACCTTATAATGGCCAAGCAGCAGGAATACAAGATGATACCGATTGTGTGATTTGCACCTGGTTTTACAACCATTATTCTAAAGCGCTCATCCATTAAAAACCAATGTACATAATCAAAGCCTCAATTTCATTGAGGTGTGGAAGCGGCCTGGGAGGGTGTTTTTGTAACGTCCAATGTCAGTGAAACTTCAGATCTCTTACAGATTTATATGCTCGTCACGTCATAATATGTCAATGTCACCCCTGACCCCTCATATGGTCTCCCATAACATACCTCAGGCTCTGACTCAGTTTAACGCTAGATCTATACTAGTAGATCGGTCATCTAGTCAATTCTGTAAAACAAAAATATCAGCTCGGTTTGTACTCAACCAACGGAACGGCAGATCTTGCGATAGAGAACAAAAACAAATGTGTGATAAAAATATCTAGATGGTGGAGATATTTTTAAAGATCGTTTATCGGTTCGTGGGTTTGCAATTAACCATAATAGAGCGTTTTTGCACACTCTAGCGAGGTTTTATTTACCCCGTGGTTATTTATAGGATCAAGATATTTTAAGAGCAGTCACCTTAAGAGCTGAGTTTGACGTTTGATGTTCAATTGACAAGCTTTAATTGCAACTGGTGGTTTGCAGTTTAATGTTAGTTAAGATAGGTTTTTGTTGTGGCCTGCTCTTTCGTATATTTAAGATGTTTTTTGGTGGATGATTGAAACCTTTTAATTTTGTCTAAGACAAGGTTTTGTGTAAGTTTGAATAGAAGACACAAGTAAGTACGTTTTTGTAATTATTATGTATAAAATCAAAATTAAAAAATTCATAAAATTCATTTATTTTTGCAAATAGGCTTTTAGAAAGCACTTTTACATGTATTATTATTATGTATTATTGTATCTTAAATTAATCTCAACAGCCTTTATATATGAAACTGAAGTACCTAACTCAAAACTGCAAATTCGCAACGTAACGTGTCTCTGTACGTCAATTTTAAAAGTTCTCGGCATGATCGTGGTGATTCTCGTTTTAAATGTAATAATCATGCAACGCGAAAGTTAACGTGTCATTATAACAGTTTTTATTAGTCCGTCTAGCGTTTCATAGATGACATTGAACTTGGCAATTCAATAAACTACGCTAAATAAAACGAAACGACTTGGGCTATGAATAAGTCATCGTTATGTGAATTGTTTTCACGCCAAACATACATTAATCACATTATAAATTCGAATAAAACTAGTCCATCATGTTATTGTGTCACAGTTAAAAAAATCATATTCATAACTTCAAATACTCTTATTTTAAGTAAAAAATCTGAACACTATTTCAAGTAAGTCAAATTTCGTATAGATTTATACAAAGAAGAAATCATTATTCTAAACTGTCCAAATGTATGAACTAAGGAAGTGTTTAACATCAATAAATATAATAGGTAAGTATGCGAATAAATTGGCAGGTGATATAATAATTCTATCATTTATTCCGCCACAATAACAACTTATTTTATTGTAATTAACATGTAAGTATCAAATTAATGTCAATCGTTAATTTACTGTTAAAGAAAGTGCCCACTTAGTTGTTAATGTTTTCTCAGTCACGAATTTCGTCTATATCATAAATGGCTTTTTACATTCCGCAAAAGCGTAACTGGCAGTTTCTAAGTTAAGCAATTGTCCCCACTCGTTGATCCTTTACGTCACGTTATCAATTACTTGAGGCGCGTTTACACACATAACCTCAAGTGAAAGTATGGGACCGGTCCCCATACTAATGCTCGAAATGTGTTAAGATTCTGACTCCACACTCGAGGTGGCCACACTTTTCTCCAGCGAGACATGTCGACTCAGTAAATAAGCTGAATAAATTAATGCATCGAACCCAACCAACCCCTCTTCGGTCATAGAGTAACGATGACTGCGAAATGTAGAGCCATCATTTTGAATTTTACGTAGTACTTATTATTATTCTGTGATTTTACACCGAAACAATCTATGATTTTTTTGCATGATGCAAGAATGAATGATTTCAGATGATGAAGTTTTTGAAATTGATATGAAGATGTGAAGAGATAAACAAATTATGGTTTGCCTAAAAATAAAAGTAATTCTACTAAATATGAAGCTTTAAAATCATTGAACCAGATTTCAGTTGTGTATTTTTTGATAATGATTTTTGAGAGGTATTTCATAATACTCATATATTATTATTATTTCTTTACTTATTATATTAAAATATTAAAGTAAAAGACGATTTTACGTAATAAAATAGAATTATGCCCGTTTTCACCATCAATCCCTAATTTTTAAGTGACCCCTATGGTAACACATAATATGAATTTTGTTTTCATAGGGTTCCTTTAAAAATAAGAGATTATGGTGAAAACGGGCATTAGTTTTATAAATTATTCGTTTTAGAAATTAAATCAATGATTAACTGTGTCTAAAATACATTCCTGAAAAAAAAAATGTAATGATGACGAAATATGTGACATCCTCGATAATAAAATATGACGAAGTTGTAAGGACTAATTAAGGCTCTAAAATTTTTCCAATTACGGCACCAAACTGTGACATTGAAAAGAGAAAAACAGGCATGCAGAATAGGGTTTTTCCTGTAAAACAACATTAATAAGAAAGGATGTGATCCAACTAAGCGGCCAGCCCGAGCTTTCCGAAGAAAGTCCGCCCGTCTGCGGCGTCGCTGCTCTGTGGCCGCGCTGCCATCACTACTTTCCTTCCCTACGTGTGTGACGTAACTCTATAAAAGAGTGCGCGGTGAAGACGCCGCCGCTATAACGTTTCCGTTCGCCTACCCCGGCCATAGCGTCCCGTACACCGCTCTGAAGGACGCGGGCGGACCCTCTTCCGCCGGACCTAGTGACAGTAAAACACAAGGTGAAGTGACAGTGCACGTGCTTGTGACAGTGTGTGATGAACTGATAACTGAAGTGACAGGACTGCTGTCGCGATCTCGAGCGAGTGAATTAAAGGTGATTATTGTTTCAGATCGAGATGAGGTCGTTATTCTTGTTAGCGGCACTGTGCTGCTTAGTTTTGTCGGCGTACGCGAGCCCTATCGTCCGACAGGATGAGGAGAATAAGGAGGTGGGCAGGCAGGCCGCAGCGCCCGCCGCGCCTGCTGCCTCCGCGGATGATGACGACGACGACGACGACGATGATGACGAGGATGATGATGTAGACATCGAAGACGCTTTATCAGGTACGTGGAATTTTGAGCTTAACGATCTTCATCAATATTATTTTGAAACAAATTTTAAGACAGTTAACAAAACTTTTTGGAACATCAATCTTGAAACTTTATTAGCTTTAGTAATATTTTAATTTGAACTCGCTTAAGTTGGAGTTAATTTGAAAGTAGCGGTTGTCTATGTACTATGTTTAGTAATTAAGTATACCTAGACTTGAGCTAGAGTGACCAGTGTTACCGGTTGTTATTACTGTTCATACTAAGTGACTCCTAACGGTATACGAATATAAACATCTTGTAGAGCTGCATATTTTCTTGCTAGTACCTCACTTTGAATATTAGAACGTTTATAGATATTATCAACCTTAGATCACAATAGCTGATAGTACGATTAATGGTTTCGCGTCTATAGTTATTTATGGGTTCGAGTCTTGTATGATTTATAACTCAATTACATAGTGCATTCATCCATACACATATATTTTCAAAACGAAGCAATAAATACTATAAATGTAATATCATTTAAAGTGAGAATTATACCCGCAATTTCTACATTCATGTACTTTTACGATGTAAATAAAAAGCAATAACGTTGCAATTTTACACATGAAATGTTAACTTAATGATAACGGGAAATTAAATTTGCAATTTTAATTGAAGACTTTCGTGGCCGGAAATCAGGTCTGTAGTTGAGGCAATTAAAAGTCTATCAGCTTTAAAAAGTGTTACGTTTGCTCGATAAAAATTCCGAAGAACCAGGACGCGGCGGGGCACCGCGGAATGTGCGGCGCAATGGCCGCTCTCAATAGCTAATTAATTCAAACAGAAAGACTCAATCAGAGAAATTGACGCTCCCCTGCTTTCTAGACGAAAGCCTCGCCTGGACGTCACGCACCGAGACGCGCGGCCGCTGCGCGTACGCTGATTAACTGTTTGTTTAACAGTTCATTTGCTTCAGGTGTTGCTAATGGTGCTAATAAAATGCGCTCGCAGCTCGCAATGAGGACGCGCTCGCGCTGAGAACATAACAGTCACTTTACAATACGTGTTTAACACCTTATATGGTTCTGTTAAAAATTACGTTAGCTCAACATTGTTTTCTATTGCAGCAGATGACGACGACGACGACGATGACGACGACGATGAAGACGAAGAGGAGTCCGACGATGATGATGACGAGGACTACTTGGAGAGGTTCTTTGATGACATCTTAGGAGGTAAGAATATGTTTGATCAAATGGAAATCGATATAAGTGCAAAATACTTAAATAGGTCACTAATGTATTTGTTTTTTCTGCAGGGGAAGACGATGATGACGATGACGATGAGCCCGCTGCCGTCCAGCCGGTCGTCGCGCCTGCTGATATTGTTGCTGCTGCGCCCGCGGTCGAAGAAGTCGCCGCCGCAGGAGAAGAAGCCGAAGCCGCTGAGCCCGAGGCTGCCGCAGAAGGCGAAGAAGCCGAGCCCGTACAAAAGGAGCCCGTGAGCGCCGAGACCGAGGCCGCCGCCGCCGCCGCCGATGTGGCAGCCGCCGACAACGAGGCCGACGACGACGACGACGACGACGAGGACATCACCGACGCGCTCGACGAGGACGACGACGAGGAGGACGAGGAGGAGGAGGACGACGACGACGAAGACGACGTGACCGACGTGCTCGGCAGGAACAACTCCCACAAGCACGCACGTGAGTCCAAAAAGTTGAAGGCGATCGTCGCGGCGCATGCGAAAAAGACGGGGAAAAAAGCGAACTACATCGGCAAAGTAAAGAAAACCAAAGCGACATCCGCCGCGGCGTCGGCCCCAGAACACAAAAAGTTCAGATAGTGAGTAGGCGGAGCCTGGCAGACGCGCCACCTAATCCACCTGAGTGACCCTCACGGTCCCCTCCTTTAGCTTAGCTATTTATTGACTATTTATTTATTCCATTTAATTTATTTTATTTATTAAGTGCGTGTGCTTGACGTGTGAAAGTGTAAGTATGGAACCGAGAGAGTTAAAGTTAAATTAATGTCTAGATCATGTCACACTGGTCTCGTGGCAATATATTTGAGAAATAAATCTGTTGTTCTAAATTACTGTGTGAAATTTTTTGTCTAACCTTGAAGATGACTTGTGCGTGTAGAGTTACGTTTCTGAGCAATTCAATACACAACAAATGCATCGGTCAGAATTCTAGTTGCCTCATTTAGAATGCACTTTGTTAGTTAATCGAGTGACATTATCTAGTATTATTAATTTAATTTTGATTGTAACAATAAAATGTATACTAGTCAGCTTTTATAAATATTCCTCTTACCCGTACCCATAAGTATTACGTATATTCTTGGATGTATGATAAAATATTATTATGCATATATCTATACTAAATTCCCTATTTCCATAGTATGATATAACAGTATTGTATATGTAGAAATTAAAGTAGTTATAATAACTAGCCTTTTGACCGATATATTTATGTAATCTAACGCACAACCAATCTTTTCCCTTCCTATCATCCTGTCCGAACGAGGTACAAAGTCACGACTGAGATTCGATTAAGTGATTGGAAGAAGCGGGCGGGTTCGATAGCGATCTGGAAGCCCGAGTGGTGGCCAGGCGCAGGAACAGGAACCGAGAACAGGTCGGCTATGTGTGTCAAGGGGTCGCCGTCTGCCCACTTTCCCGGCCGGCCCGAGCGATGAACCCGCCCGATTTCTTCTACAGCCTTGACACTTTCTCTGACCTTGCTCCGGCCGCGCCCAGGGCCGACCTTGACGAATCTCACAAACATTTCGACACAACTCGATAGAAAGTAAATCGCACCAAATGTTTACTCTCACTTAATGACGAATTTACTGCGAAATTTGCGTGTCGTACGTCCGGCTCAGTGAAAACGAGATAATGAGATGCGAAAAGAGAAATTTTAAATGTTTGCCGTCGAGAAATGTTGGGAGAGTCGTGAGGAGTCATATTCGACCTAAATGGAACTCGTTTGTTTCCGGTAGCCACGCGTATGTGCGCCGCACCTGCCACTCAGGGCGGCTGCTTCCTTTCACAGGCCGAGGCATTTGAAGAAAACTAACGATACACTAATAGGGATGCGTAAACATCTCTTACATGATGGACCATGATGATTTAAGAGCCATTGCATAACGTAAAGGTTATTATTTAATTTAACGACATAGCTCACTTTGACTGAGGGTAATGATGTTAGCTTTTGAAAACAAAGTATCACACAGTACGTGTATCGTCATAGATTTCTTCGAATGTTCGCGGCTAGGCACGCGGTTTCTTTTACGTGTGGAAAATAGAAAATTCACCGTTGACTGGACGTATTAATTGTAGCCGTGTATTAGAATTCAAGTGGAGCTCTCAGAGACCGATACAGTTAGTTCGCGTGCCTCGGCAACGTGATTTGAATTAGGTAGACATTCAGCTGAATAATTGGTTCTGTACGTTATGGACTCTCGCATGATATCATGAACGCCGTAATTGACGAATTAGGTGACAATAATTTATGGTCTTTGAAAGAGAAACTTGTCCTTAATGAGGACGGTCTGCCGGACGGTTTCAAAAGCTGTTATGAAGTCTTACTTTGTAAGGCCGGGAATCGAGTGTGTCCAGTTTTTAATGGAGGCAGGCATGTAGGCTTGTCTAAAATGAAGCGTCGATCTACTTTCAAGTTGGTTTACTGGGCCACATATCACTGCGGAATAGTGTCACAGGCACACTTACGAAGAATTTGCATCAAAACGAACTTCCTTGCAGCAAACAAGGCTATCTTAGACACCAAAACATCATTATAATTTAAAATTGTTTATGTATGAGTGAAAGTTCTCACGTTACACAAAACGATTCAAGATAACAAGATACAGAAAAGTAGGTGAACTTTAAAAATATAAGTGATACCTAATAATTAACGATAAATGTACACTTAATCGTTCGAACACAGTACTATTTAGAGCATTATTTTATTAGCATTCTGTGGCTATTTGCTCCGTCATACTTATCAGAGCATGACGTAAATAAGCTGGATGTTAATTAAATGGTTAAAGTATTACATTAATATAACGGCACACTTATCGTTCACTAGGTAATTGTACATATCAACATTGGAAGGATGCACTGAGAATTTTCTATCGTTTAACAGCAAGAGTAGGTCTTTATGGTGAACGAACTAACGTAGTAGATACATGTCTAAAATTATCAATTTCTATTTAAAATGTCGAGGTTGAAATTTTGGTATGATGGGTCTACATTAACATCTAATATGCTAATTATGCAGGTGCATTTAGTGGTGTAAAATCGTAACATTACTAAATTATGACCAGTTTCTGATGAAGGTAACTCATACAGTCAGCAAAAATGACACGAACATTGTGTGCGAACAATAGTTTTAGCAAGTATCATGATTTTAGGGGACTAGTACAAGTAATGTCGAACAGACACTAAAAAAATGAGAGGATAGGTCAAAATGTCTCAAAGAAATCGTCTAATGAATACTTTCTTTAGTTGCTTCGATTAAAAATAATTTAGAACTGGAAATCCTTTCAAAAACTGGCCACTGCTATTGACGGAACTTTATCGGTACTCTCGAAATTAATTTGTATTATGTGCGACTAAGATTTGCAAACATTTAGAATTTAGATGGTACTTAGGTAAGCTTCAGAGCTTTTTCTATTCTTTTACATTCAGATACAAAAGGATTTTTTAACGAAAATCCAAAATGAGTCCGACTTGTTCAGCTACGATCAGTAAATAATAATTTTAAAGTCATTAATAGATAAGGGTACCCAATACTGACACAAAAACAACTCAAAACAGGCGCGTTGAGCGAGGCAACCACTAAGAAGCCGCCTGTGCCAGCCATCTACATAGTGAAGTACAACCGCTTCGTGGACAACATTCTAGAGAAGATGAACGACATCCTGAGGAAGTCATATGATCCCGTCAGTGTGAAGCTGCAGCCAATTGATGCTAGCAAGAAGAGCACCAAGCCCAAGAAAAGCAGCACTAAGAACAACAAAAAGTAAGATCTGTAATTTAACTCATTATGTAGGGACATTTCGATTGGATTCGAACAAATTCACCATAATTTTGATTAACCGAATTAGAAAAATAATAGACAAACTTTTGCAAACATTACTAATTCACTACTAACCCAATTCTTCTAAAGTTTGGACGAATTCTTATGAAAGTACATTACAAGTCTAGTCAGTAAGTTACTTATGACCACAAGACATAAGTAGCTTTGTTTCTACTTAGTTAAACTTGGAGAAGTAAAATATGGGTCGCGAATCGTATCGCCACCGTATGTAGGTAACTCAGGAATACAGAAAGAGTTGCCATAAGATGAATTTCCTTTTTGCCTGCTCGTCATGTTTATACAAAAGTATAGTAACGGTAAATCCTAGCTATATTTTCATTTTGATGAGTTTCAAATAACGATAAGTGTTATTATCTATTTGTATGTTTGATTCAAAATATTTTTCTGTAGGAAATCTCACAAGAAGAAGAATACCCCTCGCACCGGAGACAGCAAAAAAGACAAAACACCCGAAATCGCACAAGCCGAAAAAGATAAATTCGAAGAGAAACCTAAAATCGAAGAAAACAACGTTACCGAGAAACTGATCGAAAACGCATCCGAATCGAGAGCCAAGAAAGAAAAGGCTGAAAGCACTAAAGCTAAGCCAACGACTATTCGAACGAAACCGGCTAAGGCTACTAAGCCGAAACCAAAACCCCCAACGAAGAACAAGAAGCCAGTGAACAGCAATAAGATTAAGACAAACGAAAGCAAGAACAAGCCTCGTGCCAAAGGAACTTTGTACGGTCTGTCGTCGCTAAGAAGAGTTGGAGACGTTGCTGTGAACATCATGTCGAACAGGACCATGGTAAAGAGCAAGTTCGCCGTGGGACCACTCATTCTGAGAGTCGAGAAGGAGGTAAGAAACAGAAAAGTTCTTATATTCTTTTCTAATCTTCCTACATCTAAAATGCTACGTCGATATAACGAGTAATACGAAAGTTCGTTTGTTAAGTTTTCAATCATATATCGCTAAACTAATTTAGATGAATTTTGGTATCTAATAGAGATACGTCAAGAGGTTGATTCAAATTCAAATAGTTCATTCAGATAGGCCCTTTCCAGGGCACTTATACACTTCCCAAATATGTATAGCTTGCCCTACCACCAAAATAGGGGACGAAAGTTCGCATTTACAACTCAGCGTAATTTCTCACGATGAATGGGTATAAAATTCATATTAATAAATTTTAACTTAATTTTAAGTGAAGAATTTAAGTTGCATGTTTACACAGAATTTGATCACTTAATTTATGCAAAAAATAATTCAATAGATTATCTACAGTATAATATCGTGATAATAATAAATATGTAAGTAAATGTTGCAAGTGACATTAAGCTGATTTCACGCTAAGCATAGCATGAAAAGCTACAACACCATCTTATGTCTTATCTACATATAATTACTCTGAATATAATCTCGATAGCAATCTTTAGTCTAAGTAAATTACTGTATCCATTTCGAACCGTACGTTCAGAATAATTCATTCAAGAATCTTTCATATTAGTTAATAGTACAAGGAAGCAAATCAGTAACCAATTGTCATAGACTTAAAGTGTAGTTTAGACTTAGAACTTACATTTTGCTAAAGCAAAGCGATGCCGTGAGAAAGGTCGTTAATTTAACCCATACACAGACTATAGAGAACATGAGAAATGTCGTCAAATTGCTTTTTGTAGCTAGCAGTGCTGCTCTATGCTGGTCTTTAATATTTTTTTCTTTATAAACGTTTCTTTTTACTTTTGTTTGTAGGTTGGCCGCGGCGCTAAGAAAGAGCTGAAGTCTGCGACTGCCACTACAGCGGAGATGACTGGCAAAATTAGCCTGATGGTTAACAACCAGGGCGTCGCTACCCTGCACTCCATCAAGGTTCTACAGCCAAAACAGGTGAAAAAAACATTTTTACTGCTGAGTCTTTAACGATTAGTTTTGACTGTGACTTACCCAATGTTTTCCGAAAGTTGGTTACTTCATACTGTATTTGTTGACTTCCAAAAATTTGCCCATCCTTCTTTTCATCATTTTGTATTCCTGCAATTTGTAAGAGAGATTAATAAATAGAGTAGTAAAAAGGAGTATTGAGGATGTTAGATAAATATTCACAAGATAAGAACTCTTTGACTAAATGAAATTTTAAAAAAATCTTTACGTTAAGGTTAAATCTCCCAAATGTTCTTCACACAAAGTTGCCAGTTGAAAAAAATCGAAATCCTAGAGAGCAATAATTCTATAGTTCATTACATTTAAACATACTAATCCGTAAACTTTAACTCCTCAGGTCCGCGTAGACAGCAACCATGAAAGGACCCGCGAGCTCGTATGGAAGCGAAGCGCGAGGATCGCTCACGTGGTCTCCGAAAAACTCTTCGCTGCCTCCAGACCTATGTTTCAAACCGTCGTCCATCAGTAGACTTTAGCCTGTAAACCTTAAAGACTATTTTATAATACATGACAGTAGGAACAAATGTATACTTTAGATGTACGACTGAACATGTTTCGAGGTGGTAGGAAATTGGTGGAATGATTTTAGTTCTTATTACAATCAGGTCTAGATTAAATTTTGGTTGAGTTTTGGATTTTGAAGGCTTTGGTAGTGAACTTTAAATTGAATGAAATTAATTTTGAAAACAAATTGACTGATTGAAGATAAGTCGCTAACAGAAGGTGAAATGGTGGAACAGAATATTGCATTTAAATAATTTTAGCTTAGGTTTAAGTTGAATTTTATACTGCATAGGTGTTATGATACTCATTATTAATAGTCAGAAATGCATTTATTATTTCGTAACTAATGGTGCTAAGACTTAGGTCCCAGTGAACAATTATTTAATATTTATACATAGATAATAAATAATTTGTATTGTAACATAAGAGTATTTTTTACAAAATAAAAATTTTAAAACTTTTAAGTGTTTTGTTTTAAAAAAATGTTGGCGATATTTTAAATTGCTACGTATATTACCTTTGTACCTACTAAATAAGATATACTAAACGTGACAAAGTGGATATGTAATAAAATACACTAAAATTTGAATGAAATCATACGAATTTATTTCTTATCGAAGTAAGTAAAATATATTTAACAATAAGATATAATAAGTACAAGAATGTTAGCATCCTATTTATTGCACTGAGAAATTATAAAATAATCTGCAAATAAACCACAAGTGTTGGTTACACTTACATTAGTTGAGAGATATCATGTAAAGTACGGCCAACGAGAAGCGATACCAAATGTAAACAAACCCAATGTCATGGTCATTAGAAATAGCAGAGGTGCATAACTTTTTAATAGTTTGATTACATATTTTTGTAGGCAATATAGTTTTAAAAAATATCTGGCAAATCATAAAAATAGATGTTTTATTGAATTTTGTTTTTGTTATAATTTGAATTATTGTATAATGTAGATTTAAATTAAATAACGAGAATAATAATAACATTTCTGCCTGACAATGTGCCCGGTGTATGGCAACAGGCCTACCCCTTTTTTTAGAGACATAAATATATCGGAATAATAAAATAAGGTGAATCAGAAATGAGGAGATCCGCAGGAGAACCAAAGTGACCGACATAGCTCGCAGAATTGCTAAAATCAAGTGGCAGTGGGCGGGGCACATAGCTCGTAGAGACGATGGCCGTTGGAGCAGAAAAGTTCTCGAGTGGCGACCACGGGCTGGAAGACGTAGCGTGGGCAGGCCTCCTACTAGGTGGACCGACGATCTGGTAAAGGTCGCGGGAAGAGCCTGGATGCGGGCAGCGCAGGACCGTGCATTGTGGAAAACCTTGGAGGAGGCCTTTGTCCAGCAGTGGACGTCATTTGGCTGAAACGAACGAACGAACGAACGAATAAAATAAGAACCGACAAGAAGTAACAGATTCGCCCTCGTGAATTGCAACAACTATGTATTCTAAAATTTATGTCCGAATATTGACGAACCCGTCTGACTTTGACATATTTTAGCGGGAGAACGAGACATTACGACAAATACATAAGATGGGAAGAGACAGAATCGACCTTTCGTATCGCTGCTAGTTGGCCGTACTTTAGTAATAAATCATGCTAAAACAATTGAAAATCGAAAAAACAAAACAACATCGGACAAAAAAGGGAAGATTAAAAATCAATAAAATGTAACTGGTAAGCTGTCTATCTTATAAGCTTACCGGTCTCTGGGATAGATAACGATTAAAATTAAACATTATCTGGTGTATAGCCCCATCTACTATGAGACAAAGGTTGGTTTTTACCGGCAACGATGATTATAATGTCACTCTTATGGTGGTAGGTAAAGTAAAAATATTAAAAAAATGTTTCTTTTAATTAACGTAATAAATATTTATTTTACATACGAGTATAGTTAAGCATAGGCTACAGGAAAGTAACGCCTCACAGTGGCTACTAAAATATATTGAACACTGGTTTAACAAAGAAGAATCATTTTGATGTATTCAAGTGCATTGCTTTTTACTGCATTGGTGTGTTTACATTGCACGGGACTGTTAAAAATATCACATAAAATGAATAAGGCTTGCTTGCATAAATTACATAATGATTTACTTCAATAATAGTTAACATAACCAAAGTAAGTACTAACTTAAGTCTGCACTCTGCACTGGCCATACGAATACACATTCAAAGACACGGTTGTAAAATGAACACAATAAAATAGGAAATCGCTCACTAAATATACAAATATTTATTTTGTTTTACATTAGCTTGCATTAGAAAAAATGGCGTGAATGACATAAGGTATCTTGTAGTTATTTCTATAAGAAAATAAATAATAAGTATTGGATAGTTTACCCCTATTCTTACTTATCCTCATGGAATAAATGTGTCTTATGAAAAAGATTGTAAGGGACATATTATTTTGCCAAAACAATGTTATTCTTGAGGATACTGCTAGGACAAAGGGGTCATATTCGTACATAAAACTTGACTGTATCTTGGCTGAACACGCATCTTTGGTAACTAACATTCCAATTGCCATTAGTACTTTATCTTAAAACTATATTTTGTCACTCACCACTAAAGTCTTGTATAGATTCAATACTAAAAGTATAAAAGAATCACAATAAGTGATATTTTCTAGTAGATTAATTAAGTATCTAACTACTTACAAAATTGTATTTACTTATACTTATGAAGTGATCGGAAAATTGGGCGATTATTTATTTTAACTTTCCACACGAAAACAATATAAAAAAGAAAATATTAAGGTTTTATAAGTGTGCTTGCATTGTGTGCATTATTAAGTTAAAACTTTATTGAGATTTTGGTTTCAGAGAATAGATTTTACCATTTTGTGCATACTTGAGTAATAGAAAAGTGTTGTTTCGTAAAACATGGCGTTAAATAAACGTGCGTAGATCACTCTTACGATAAAATTATGGTAGACTCGACAGAAACAGGATAGTTGGTCATTATAGCTGGAATTATTTAAAACATTAATTATAGCACACTAAATGACGTCAAAAACGACGAGATCACTTTATAAATTCATTGAAATTGAATAATTCGAATGCATTTTAATATTCAGGGATCACTTATACCGAAGAACTCCACTGTTTCGTCCAGGCTAGGCTTTTTCTATTCGATTCGTTGAATCTAGTCGATCCAACTTCAGTCTCCGGTCACGTGCCATTGATTTTGTGCGCGTGCGCATCGCGATTGCCGTTCAATAAGGGCGTAGTGTTTCTGGATTCGGCGATAACTACTTCTGTGACGTCATCATCTGGCTGCCGGATCGAATCGTAGTTTGGTGGTGGGGTGGCGTTTCGCGTTTCTTTTATCAGCGGCAATGCAATGTTGCCGGTCAGGTCTGAAAACAAAAATAGTTTGTTTAATATAGGGATTAAAGTTACCTTATAATTACAACAGGTCCCGTGACTTAGACTCTATCATCATATTCATCAGGTCATTTAGTCTGCACTGCACGAGGACGACTGCCTCTAATGGCTCCTTGGCGTTCAGAATCACGAGCGTCGAGCACATTGTATAACGCAGCATCAGCCTGCGAACTGACAGCGTATGAGTCGCACTTGTGGCTATTAAGCCTTCTTAGACTGTAGTCAGATCCTTGTCAGGTCAACGTAGTGAAAAGTGGGTGTGGCTAAGAAGAGTGGGCGTGGTCGTTTGTACCGCAATGCGCCTGGATGGGTCTTGAAGGCTGTTCAGCAGTGTACGTCTAACGTTAGTCGCCTTTCACGACGTCCCAGGTAGAGTGGGCGTAGTCTATATTGCAGCGCGGCGTCCAGCTCGGCGGCGGCTGCCTGCACGCTGACAGCGAGCTGGATAGCGCGCAGATTCCTTTGGCAACGTATGGGAGTCACACTTGGCTGGGTGTTAAACCCTCTTAGAATGTAGTCAGGTGACTATAGTGAAGAGTGGGCGTGGTGTATCTCCCCCCTACCTTGCAGCGCGGCGTCCAGCTCGGGCGCGGTGAGCACGACGAGCGCGTCGGAGCCCGCGCCGCTGAGCACCGCGGCCACGCTGGCGCACGGCGACAGCAGCACCAGCGGCTGCCCGCGCGCTGATTAAGAACTGGATAGGGGGCAGATTCCCTTGGCAACGTATGAGAGTCGCACATGCCTGGCTATTGATCTCTCTTACCTACGTCATCAGGTTATTCAGTCTCCACTGTAGGAGGACGACTCCCCCTAAACTGGGCGTGGTCTAATCTACTTCTTACCTTGCAGCGTGGCATCCAGCTCGGCGGCGGCTGTCCGCGCGCTAAATAAGACGCAGATTCCTATGGCAAGGTATAAGAGTCGCACTTGGCTGGCTACTAAACCCTCTTAGGATTTAGTGAAGTCGTTGTCAGGTTACTATAGTGAAAAGTGGGCGTGGTGTATCTCCTCCCTACCTTGCAGCGCGGCGTCCAGCTCGGGCGCGGTGAGCACGACGAGCGCGTCGGAGCCCGCGCCGCTGAGCACCGCGGCCACGCTGGCGCGCGGCGACAGCAGCACCAGCGGCTGCCCGCGCGCTGATAAAGAGCTGGATAGGGCGCAGATTTCTTTGGCAGTGACGTATAGAATCCTTTGTGTTTATAGTTCGACTCGCCCTTAGGTGGCTATGTAGCTCCTTACCTTGGCATCTAGCTGACTGGTGGTTCTGACTCTTGACTCGTGACTCTTATCTTCGTCATCATTAGGTCATTCAGTCTCCACTGCAGGAGGATGACTCCCCCTAAACTGGGCGTGGTCTTATCTACTTCTTACCTTGCAGCGTGACATCCAGCTCGGCGGCGGCTGTCCGCGCGCTAAATTAGACGCAGATTCCTATGGCAAGGTATAAGAGTCGCACTTGGCTGGCTACTGAACCCTCTTAGGATTTAGTCAAGTCGGTGTCAGGTTACTATAGTGAAAAGTGGGCGTGGTGTATCTCCTCCCTACCTTGCAGCGCGGCGTCCAGCTCGGGCGCGGTGAGCACGACGAGCGCGTCGGAGCCCGCGCCGCTGAGCACCGCGGCCACGCTGGCGCGCGGCGACAGCAGCACCAGCGGCTGCCCACGCGCTGACAAAGAACTGGATAGCGCGCAGATTCCCTTGGCAGCGACGTATAGAATCCTTTATGTTTATAGTTCGATTAGCCCTTAGCTGGCTATGCTATGCTGGCTAACTCCTTACCTTGCAACGTGGCATATAGATGGCTAGTGGTCCGATGTTGCATTTAGTTCGTTAGCGTTCAGAATCAGGAAGACACTGGATAGCACAGCACTAGAGGAAGCCCGCGCGCTGATAGCGAGCTTAGCGAGCTGGATAAGGCGCAGATTCTCTTGGCAACGTATGAGTCATATTTTGCTGGCTATTCAGCCTTCTTTGAATGTAGTCAGGTCCTTGTCAGGCCAACGTAGTGAAGAGTGGGTGTGTCTAAGAAGAGTGGGCGTGGTTTATCTACCCTTACCTTGCAGCGCGGCGTCCAGCTCGGCGGCGGTTGTCCACGCGCTGATAGCGAGCTGGATAAGGCACAGATTCCCTTGGCAAAGTATGAGAGTCACACTTGACTGGCTATTGAACCCTCTTACGATGTAGTAAAGAGTGGGCGTGGTGTATCTCCTCCCTACCTTGCAGCGCGGCGTCCAGCTCGGGCGCGGTGAGCACGACGAGCGCGTCGGAGCCCGCGCCGCTGAGCACCGCGGCCACGCTGGCGCGCGGCGACAGCAGCACCAGCGGCTGCCCGCGCGCTGATTAAGAACTGGATAGCCCGCAGATTCCCTTGGCAACGAAGAAAAGAACCCCTAGTGTGAGAGCCCGATTCGTACTTTGCCGTTCATTGAATCCTCTTACCTTCTTCCTACCTTCATCTTCATCAGGTCATTCAGGATCCACTGCATGAGGACTATCGCTTCTAATTTTCCAGAGGCAAAAGCTAGGCACTCCCTAGGCTGGCTCGCGGAAGCTTGATGTTCGCATTTTTCTCTAAGTCGCCATATGTAGTCACAGGAAGAGTGGGCGTGGCCTGATGTTCGCATGTTTCTGTGTTAGTCGCCTTTAAAGACGGTAAAGTAGGCGTGGTTTATCTACTCTTTACCTTGCAGCGTGGCATCCAGCTCGGCGGCGGTCGCACAATGGACACGCTTCTTATTTACCAGAGGCATTAGCCAGACGGGTTGGGGAGAGTTAATGTTCGCGTGTTTGACCCATAGACTTTTCTTAGACATTCTGGAAGAGTGGGCGTGGTCTATCTCCTCCCTACCTTGCAGCGCGGCGTCCAGCTCGGCGGCGGTCGCACAACGAACACGCTTCTTATTTACCAGAGGCAAAAGCCAGACACTCCACGTTGGCCAGACGGGTTGGGGAGACCTAAAGTTCGCGTGTTTGACTCTTAGATTTTTCTTAGACATTCTGGAAGAGTGGGCGTGGTGTATCTCCTCCCCTACCTTGCAGCGCGGCGTCCAGCTCGGGCGCGGTGAGCACGACGAGCGCGTCGGAGCCCGCGCCGCTGAGCACCGCGGCCACGCTGGCGCGCGGCGACAGCAGCACCAGCGGCTGCCCGCGCGCTGATAAAGAACTGGATAGGGCGCAGATTCCTTTGGCAGCGACGTATAGATTCCTTTGTGTTTATAGTTCGACTCGCTCTTAGGTGGCTATGTAGCTCCTTACCTTCGCATCTAGCTGACTGGTGGTTCCATGTTGCATGTAGCTTGTTGGCGTTCAGAATCACGAGCACACTGGATAGCGCAGCATCAGTGGCTGTCTGCAAAGCTGACAGCGTATGACTCGCACTTGGCTGACTATTAAACCCTCTTAGAATGTTGACTAAATTCGAAGATTGTTATCAGGTCAATGTCTAATCTACTTCTTACCTTGCAGAGTGGCATCCAGCACAGCGGCGGCTGTCCGCGAGCTGGATAAGGCACAGATTCCCTTGGCAACGTACAAAAGTCACTTGACTGGCTAATAGCCTTCTTAGAATGTAGTAAGGTGGTTGTCAAGTCACTATAGTGAAAAATGGGCGTGGTCTATCTACCCTTTACCTTGCAGCGTGGCATCCAGCTCGGCAACGGCTGTCCGCGCGCTGATAACGAGCTGGATAAGGCACAAATTCCCTTGGCGACGTATGAGAGTCGCACTTGACTGACTAATAGCCTCTTAGAGTGTAGCCAGGTGGTTGTCAAGTCACTATAGTGAAGAGTGGGCGTGGTGTATCTCCTCCCTACCTTGCAGCGCGGCGTCCAGCTCGGGCGCGGTGAGCACGACGAGCGCGTCGGAGCCCGCGCCGCTGAGCACCGCGGCCACGCTGGCGCGCGGCGACAGCAGCACCAGCGGCTGCACGCGCGCTGACAAAGAACTGGATAGGGCGCAGATTCCCTTGGCAACGTATGAGAGTCGCTAATGGCTGGCTATTGATCCCTCTTACCAACGTCATCAGGTTATTCAGTCTCCATTGCACTGCAGGAGGACGACTCTCCCTAAACTTAGCGTGTACGAAGTAAAGAACCCCTAGTGTAAGTCCGATTTGTACTTGGTCGGTCATTGAAACCGCCTTTATCTTCATCAGGTCATTTAGGCGCCACTGCAGGAGGAGGAACGCTTCTAATTTACCTGAGGCAAAAGTCAGACACTCCCCACGCTGGCCTGTGGAGGCCTGATGTTCGCGTTTGCTCTTGGTCGCTTCATATAACCTTCACGGGAAGAGTGGGCGTGGCCTCATATTCGCATATTTCTCTGTTACAACCCAGTCGAGTTAATTGCGAACCCGGCTGCCGTGACGTCACATCGACGCTCTGGGGCGATCTGTCGTTTAGTCAGGTCCTTGTCAGGTCAACGTAGTGAAGAGTGCGTGTGGCTAAGAAAAGTAGGAGTGGTCTTTTGTACCGCAATGTGACTGGATGCGTCTTGAAGGCTATTCAGCAGTGGACGTCTAACGCTAGTCACCTTTTACGACGTCCCAGGTAGAGTGGGCGTGGTGTATCTCCCCCCTACCTTGCAGCGCGGCGTCCAGCTCGGGCGCGGTGAGCACGACGAGCGCGTCGGAGCCCGCGCCGCTGAGCACCGCGGCCACGCTGGCGCGCGGCGACAGCAGCACCAGCGGCTGCCCGCGCGCTGATAAAGAGCTGGATAGGGGGCAGATTCCCTTGCCAACGCATGAGAGTCGCACTTGACTGGCTAAAGCCCTCTTAGAATGTAGTCAGGTCATTGTGAGGTCGACGTAGAGAAAAGTGGGTGTGGTCTAATCTTCCCCTTACCTTTCGGCTGTTCGCGCGCTGATAGTTAGCTAGATAAGGCGCAGATTCCCTCGGCAGCGCATGAGAGTCGCTCCCTACGTCATCATCAGATCATTCAGTCTCCACTGCAGGAGGACGACTCCCTCTAAACTGGGCGTGGTCTCATCTACTTTTGACCTTGCAGAGTGACATCCAGCTCGGTGGCGGCTGCCCGCGCGCTGATAGCGAGCTGGATAAGGCGCAGATTCATTTGGCAACGTATGGGAGTCACACTTGGCTGGGTGTTAAACCCTCTTAGAATGTAGTCAGGTCACTATAGTGAAAAGTGGGCGTGGTCTATCTTCCCCCTACCTTGCAGCGCGGCGTCCAGCTCGGGCGCGGTGAGCACGACGAGCGCGTCGGAGCCCGCGCCGCTGAGCACCGCGGCCACGCTGGCGCGCGGCGACAGCAGCACCAGCGGCTGCCCGCGCGCTGATAAAGAACTGGATAGGGCGCAGATTCCCTTGGCAACGTATGAGAGTAGCACTTGACTGGCTAAAGCCCTCTTAGAATGTAGTCAGGTCATTGTGAGGTCGACGTAGAGAAAAGTGGGCGTGGTCTAATCTTTCCCTTACCTTTCGGCTGTTTGCGCGCTGATAGCTAGCTAGATAAGGCGCAGATTCCCTTAGCAGCGCATGAGAGTCGCGCATGGCTGGTTATTGAACCCTCTTATTTACGTCATCATCAGGTCATCCAGTCTCCACTGTAGGAGGACGACTCCCCCTAAACTGGGCGTGGTCTAATCTACTTCTTAAATCGCAACGTTGCATCCAGCTCAGAGGCGGCTATCCGCGCGCTGATAGCGAGCTGGAACGTTTAAGAGTCGCACTTGACTGGCTAATAGCCCTCTTAGAATGTATTTAATTCATTGCCAGGTCACTATAGTGAAGAATGGGCGTGGTCTGATCAGCAGTGCGTCTGGATACGTCTTGATGGCTGTACAGCAGTGGACGTCTAACGCTAGTCACCTTTTACGACGTCCCAGGTAGAGTGGGCGTGGTCTAAGAAGAGTGGGCGTGGTGTATCTCCTCCCTACCTTGCAGCGCGGCGTCCAGCTCGGGCGCGGTGAGCACGACGAGCGCGTCGGAGCCCGCGCCGCTGAGCACCGCGGCCACGCTGGCGCGCGGCGACAGCAGCACCAGCGGCTGCCCGCGCGCTGATAAAGAACTGGATAGCGCGCAGATTCCCTTGGCAGCGGTGAAGTCGGCGCCTAGAAGTGACGAATGGGGTTATTTGGATGATGTAATAAACATTTTTTAAGTGACGATGGCGCTCAATGCATTTAAGTTGAAGACCGTAAGCTAAACTGAATATACATTGTTTAATTGGTACACAGAAATATATATTTCAAAAGGTCCCTAAAGGTGTGGTGGCCGGCGTGCACCGATAGCGATCAATGCATTTAAGTATGGTCGCCATCGCTGTACGCCGGCTGATCACGTGTGATCGCGTTGGTTTGTCCGAACCTTAACTCAGCATTAGTCGTGCGTGACAGTGGATGCCACGATAGCAGCGACATTTGGGGTTGCATGATCTAAACGGGTTTTAGTAAAGTTACTTCGAAGCTTTCAACTTTAGCTTTGGTCCAAAATTTGAATGATGATTTCAAGAGACGGATTGAATGTAGTGCGTTAATCACTTATAATACGGAATAAGCATGATTTTTTATTTCAAAGTTCAACTCTGTTAGAAATTATACTATCCATGAATACCTAACATAAAGTCTGTTATTCTAATCCTAGTGACGTCACTTAACAGGTCAAAGTTACGCGGTTAAATTTTCCGGTACTTAATATATGACGTCACATTCAGTTAAACTATTTATTTACCTAGCACATATCTGCAGTCAATGACGATCGGCATGCTGCAACCGCCCTGCTTCTTAGCGGCTCGCTCTACGTACTGCCGAATATACTCCACTCCGGGGAAGTATAGACTGTTGCCAACAGTCACCAACACGTAACTGAAACCTGACGAATTCTGTGGACAATTAAAGGCAGAAATTAAGATTTATTTGTTGACAAAAGACAGAAGTAGTTTTAAACTTTCAGGCACAGACTGACACTAATATTTTTTGTACAAAAGCACAGTCAACGACTTTAGCTATTTAGGCCTGATTCGACTAAACTTTTATCCGAGAATAACTCCTGGTATAACTGGCACATTGACGGTTTCAGTATGGGAAATATGTGAAAACTGACGATTTATTCTGCGATTAATATTACTCTTGTTTGGTCGCATCTTGTTGTATAATATCTTTAGATCTAGTGCTTAACTCTTCTTATTCTTCTTTTATTTTGGCAACGACTTGGTTTTGAGAACCATGATTTCGCCAATGTCACTTGTGCTTAATTCAGTCAGTGACTAAAGCCGGGTCCAGACATGATCATTTGACCGATCCTATCACCGTATCCGAATCTGCGTATTGTATTAAGCCCCGTATCAAGTTGTGGACGCCTCCGATTTGCTCCGTAACCGTATATTCTCTTATCTTCTATTATCTGTATCACCTTAATGATGATCGGACAAAAACCGACACGACTGGGACGGGCCGTATCATGACGGCGTATCGATATCCCTTATCACGATACGTATATCATTACCCGTCCACATATGCGATCATGATACGCGTCGACGATACGGATATGGTGATCGTATCAGCAAATGATACATGTCTGGACCCGCCTTAAGGTATGGAAGCGGCACAGGAGGGGTGACATTGCCATATTATAAGGTGACAGAGCATACAAATCTGAAAAGCATATCTGAAGTTTCCCTGACATATTATGACGTCTCCAAAACACCCGTGCTGTTCCCATATCTCAGACACTGACTGAATAAGAGCTAGACATATAGTAGTAGTTATTTTTAAGTGGCAATGCTCTTGCCTATCATACAAACATGGTTAACTTCTAACTGGACTCAAAACTATGGCCAATATACCACACTCAAGGACACATCGTGTTTTTGTGGTTGCTGATAAGAACCACTATAAAATATTCAGTTATCGGCACTCGGTCGTGTACTATTAAAATTTTCAATTTAAGTATGCTAAGTAGCGGCAACGGTGCACACTTAGGTACGAATGTAAGAAAATAACTATTACAAATAGAAGTACGCTATTAAAAAACTGTAGTTGTAACTGTCCGTCATAATAATTCGCCAATAAAATCTACAGCTGCACTCAACAATCCACTGCCCTTAAAAAGGGAGTCACTTTTATCTGGAACCAGTAAAACTAAAGTTGTCTTTTATCTGACAGATAAATCTCTGACAAATTATCAGGGACTTTATCAGGAACTTAAATATAATTACCGTGACAATCTCAGCGTCAAGCTGCGGCCTTGCACTGGGGTACAACAGCAGTATGACGTTGACAGCTACCCCAGCCAGTATGCCCAATTCCACCCCCACCGCTAGACAAATGGCGAACGTAGCGAACGCAGGTACAAGGTCAGCTCGCCTAGACCGCCACATCGGTTTAACTACCTGAAAATAATTAATGTATTTATTAGTATCAAATATACAGAAAATATACCGTAAAATGGAGCGTGATCGTGATCGAATCAGATATGAGGAGATCCGCAGGAGATCCAAAGTGACCGACATAGCTCGCAGCATTACTAACATCAAGTGGCAGTGGGCGGGGCACATAGCTCGCAGAGACGATGGCCGTTGGGGCAGAAAAGTTCTCGAGTGGCGACGACGGGTTGGAAGACGTAGCGTGGGTAGGCATCCTACTAGGTGGACCGACGATCTGGTAAAGGTCGCGGGAAGAACCTGGATGCGGGCAGCGCAGGACCGTCATTATGGAAAACCTAGGGGAAGGCCTTTGTCCAGCAGTGGACGTCATTTTGGCTGAACCGACGCACGACGACAGTGTAAAATAACCATCGCTTAAGTTCTAAGACCACGGTCAAAATTGTCAAGTATGTATATGCCCGCCGCACCTTAATAACCTATTTTTCACTTTAAATCAAAACATTATGTCATAGGCATCATGGAAAAGTAATATTATGCAAGAAACATTCCAAACTCATTATGCCTAATTATATTAATATATGATATCAAAACGTTCAAAAGTTTGGCTGTACACGAGCACGTACACAAGATGTTGTTCTCTTTTATGAAATTTGTTAGTACTAAGGTTGAATTATTAAATGATCACTGTTAAATGTGATTAATTTATCACTTTTACCGCGACTGTCGGTAATTATTCATAATAACCGGTTATCATTAATAATTTTCAATTTATCACATTAACCGTAACATATACATAAAATACATATAGATGAGCCAAAGACATTCTGATATCACTGGTGCTACTTAATTTGTGTTTTGTGTGTGCAACGTTATCACTTTATGGTTAGGTAAATTATTTTTTTGCTCTCAGCAACATAAGTATCCGTTAGGTATTATTTTATCTTGTTTATTATTTATAATTTTTCTCATTATGTTAATTATTAAAAATGACTCAGGCAAACCAAATTTTTAATATTGAGTCATAATACATGAGGATAAATTCATATTGAGAGTACAATCACGGGAACCCGATGCCTATAAATCTTGAATCATTCCAAATCAATCTCACTAGATGGCGACATAAGTATCGAATTTCTGAAGACGTTTGTAAAAAGTCACTAATGCTCAGTAAACTATAATGAAAAAATGTTTTACACATTAATTTGTTCATTTAAACACAGTGAATGATTCAAATAAACAATATTTCTTCATATAATAAAATTTTATCTTTAGTAAAAACTGAAGTCTTAAACAATCGTTTTTGCAGCGCTGTAGAAGTAGCATTTAGTTACAAATGATGTAATAGATGGCGCTCATCGCTGCTGTTTTATTTCGTCACTTATAAAAATACTAAAATAGGTTTGGTTTTGCAACAAATTATTATTTTTATTAATTGTCATATTTCTTGTAAAATGCAAAAAAAATTTAAAATTGTGACAGTTGACGAATTAAGGATATATGCATAATGATCCCGAAAATAAACAGCTATCGACTATGGAGGTGTTTTAAGATGAACCAATTCCAACAAAAGTCCCATGCGCTCGGAACACTTTGAAACTTACGGTCGCCTATTTTTCCGAAATATCCGATTATATGACAGAAACTTCACTAGAGAAATTTAGAATGGTTAATTCTTAATAGTAAACAGCCACTTTTTTTTTCAAAAGTCTTTAGTTTAATAAGGGAAACTGGCCAGCATAGTCGAATCGCCATTCATGACGAAAATGTGAGCTTTTACACGTCTCGTCAAACAACTGACTATTTGAACACTCAAAATATGAAATAAACAGGTCCAACGCTAAAAAATTCTTGCTTAGAATCTAAACACTTCTTTTGGTACCCATATATTAAAATTAAATGCGTGAATAGCGATTTATGTAGCCAGAAGCAACTGTCGGTGCGGTCAAAAATCATGCTTTGGAGGTGCCTCAAGCTGAGTGGAAAAAATGCTATGAAAAGTGTTTCGGACACATTAAAAAGTACATAAATCATGAAAGACAATACCAATAAACGCAATCAATACCATTTTAATAATAAACTACTTTGTTTTCATAGTTAGGCTCACAACTTAAATAGTGTCCCACGTACATAGGATGATGACGCGCGGAGTCGTGAAGTCACGACCGCGCATGTAGGCCGCGGCGAAGTGCCAACAATCGGTAGGTGTTTCCCGAGGTTTCCGCGGATTCTATTTTGTTGCATTGTTGAATCATTCGAGCACATTTGAATGAGATAACGCGAGTTTATTTTGGTACTGAAAAGTCAATGAATGTTTCGGGGAAATGCGTCAAGAAAGTAAATTGAACAACAAAGTGTATGTAGACGATCTTGTGAAAATATTTCAGCAAACTTCACAAAGTTATGAAACATACTGACGCTAAGACATTATTATGCTGCTTAAATGGAAATTGCTCCTTTAACGAACGAGGATAAAGGAATTTTTTTTTTTTTTTATCCACAACGAGGAAGCTCTTGGCCTGTATCTCACCTGATGGTAAGTGACGATCAGGCCGAAGGTGGAAGCGAGCTTCACCCGGAATCCTCAACCACGGAGGAACTGGCTATCTTACCTCTAACTGCCGGAACACAATAATGCTGTTAACATTGTTGTTATGGCGTCAGACTTAGGTAAGATGGTGGTAGCTAGCCAGGCGGACTTAGAACAAGCCCTACCACCAACCAAACCGAACAGAAAAATCTGCCCCCACTGGGAATCGAACCCGGGACCTCTGCGTCTGAAGCAGGTGGTCTTACCACTAGACCACAGAGGCGGTTAAATTAATTCGTAGAATGCCTAACTCGCGTCGTCGTGTAAAAGAATAACTTTGGTAAAACAAAGAGCGGTACAGCGCTAACACTTAAGGATGTACGTTCTGCTGCTAAATACTATGATATCACCCGTACTTCAGAACACGTTATGTTTAGTTAGTTTAATCACGGGGCAATTAGAGAGGATGCGGTCATCAGCTGACGGCATCCTATTTTTCTAACGCAAATATCATAGAAAAATTGTGGGGATTTCAGAAAGAAAATGTGGGGTGCATCAATTATTGTAAAGCAAAAAAGATGAGTGTGGAAGAACAAAAAAGTTTCAGGAAAACATTACCGTAATCATATGACTTATTCTGAAATAAGTTGTGAGAAGTGTTAAACATTGTATTTACGGTAAAACATAGACGTTGTTCATGTCGGATACAAGTAACTTTTTTGTTTCAATACTGTTTTTGAAACCAGCCTGAAGCGATTTCGATAAAAGTGGACTGTATAGCGATAGGGAGACTTCCAAAATATTTCTGTGACTTGGGTGAAAAACTTTAAGATTGAAAATAATGTAAAAGGATTGCGATCGGGCTTACCTGGCTCCTGAAGATGTTTAGCCTGATACGTACAATTCAAGTAATCCCCCAGTGCTGGGCCCAGATGAGTTCCTACCGTCCTTGTAGTAACGGCCACGCTGGACACCTTCACACCGCCTCTCACGCAATCGATGATGGATTTAATAAATATACTACTTTAAACTACTGCGACACTAATTGAGAGTAATTTCTATGCTTGCGCGATAATTCCGACAAGTTTAACCGCCTTTTTGGCGATTCGAAAACGAGAGCGACACGACGGCCGAATCCAAATTTTGCAACTAACTTTATTTGACATTTCAACCAAATGTTGCTATACGAAAAATATTAAATAATGCTACGACTATGGTTTCTAGGGGAGACCTAGGAGAGTTGTGACAATTTTTACTTTAGGGGCCATATCTCGCTCAAAAAACATTCCACAGCTATGAATCATACAAATGTATGTAGCGCCGTTCCTTCTGTTTTCAAAACAATCACCAAAGTTAACTAAAGTATTAGGGTTTCTAAGAAAATCACCAAAATCTTAGACCACTCCCTCTGTCACAACTCTCCTAGCACCGAGGTAAGTTGTGACAGGTAGCGAGGTGAGTTGTGACAGCATTGTATTTCATCTATTAGATATAAAATACCATAATACTCAATCAAATATAATTTTTTAGCAAAAAAGTACTTAAATCATCCTTTAGTAACAATTAAAACAAATAGTTATAGGATGTCGTTACACAAATTGAGCCACATTTCTCCAGCTTTCATTTTTCTCCCACACTGGATTTTTTAATTATATTTTTTAGCTAATATAGTCACTTAATACATATAATATTTTCTTCCTCTTCTGTAAAAATAAAATAGTCGCGGTGGTATAATCCATAGACGGAGCTTCGCCTTCTGGGTTTACTTGATAAGTCTCTTTCTTCTTAATATATCTTGACAAGTTTAGATTGTAAGAGGTCGCAGGCAGCATATTATCTTAAACTTTAACCCTTTTTAACCTAATCACTTCATAACCTAGCTTATCAAGTGATTATTTCGACTCCAGCAAGCAGTTCCTCTATATGGCATTCATGTATAGTTATTAGGCATTCAGAATCAAAAAAGTAGCAGCAGGCAATTATACAAATTATGAACCTACTAACACACAAAAAAACATCTAAAAACATCGTGGAAATGGCCCATCAGAAAAATTAAGTAAGCTAGGAGAGTTGTGACAGGCTGTCACAACTCTCCTAGGTGTTTAAAATGACGACTTGGTTCGAATAATATTTTTTATTTTCTAAACACGTTGCGCACACAAAATATCAGTGCTACATTTTGAGACCTGAATAACCATGCAACTTGAGAAAAAATAACACAACAGTGCACATTATACTAAAACATGATATAAACTTAAATAAAATTTTGACGAAAAACTTACTTTTCGCATTTTTTTGTACACAGACGTCATATTTACGTAACCGTGCCTCTAGTGCCGCCCACAGGTACTTAGTCAAGAAGAGCGTCTTAAAAGCGACAAACAAGCGTTTTTACCAGCTTCCTAACTATATTAATTAAGGAGAAATCGTCCTTGTCACAACTCACCTCTGTCACAACTCTCCTAGGTCTCCCCTACTA